GAGTAACTCAAGTAATAGTGGGTTATAGGTACAGCATCTAGTGTAGAACCTAGTAATAGGTAGATACTTAATTAGGCACTCAAAAGGTGCAGATATGGCTAAAATGTATCCTCGTCAGAATGTATTTGTCTGGGGTCCTCTTGAAAAGGACACCACATGATCCTAGTATCTAATAAAAGTAGAAAGCCAAAGAGGCTAACCTTGATTACAAAAAAAAAAAAAAGAATAAAATATGGATTTTGTAAAATAGAATTTCTGTCTATAATTCTACGTGGTTTTAAAGAAATTTTAAAAATTGTATATGGTAGTAGAGATTCAATAATTGCTGTACCATTTATCTATAAAATATATAATTTATTTAGTAATTATTTTAAAATAGTTTATTATAATAATAGAAATTTATTACTGAGCGAGCCCATATAGAATAATGATTTTCATTAAGTTTAATATGTCTATTTTTAGTTGACCAACAAGGTTCTTGACATTGATTACATTTTTGTCTACTACAAATATTAGAAATAATTGTTGCTATTTTTAACTTGTCTTTGTTAGCTTCATAATCTGTTTTATTTGGTTTGGAATTAGTATTTTGTTTAAATTTCTTTATATAATTAATTTTAGTATCAGAATCTGAATCTTTCTATTAATTAATAACTTAGTTAATTAATATATATATATTAGTTTTAATTTTATTTATAATTACCTTTCGAGAAACCTTTAACCGTTTTTAAAACTAATTAAAACTTGTATATCTTTTTTATTAGTTTTTGCTTGATTATGTTCTTTAATAAAATAATTAAAATCATTTTCATCAACAATTTGTGTTCCTAGTCTAGTTTCTTTTCTAGCTTTATAAGCAATTAAAAATTCAAATTTTTTAATTTTATGATTTTCTAAGATTAACTGAACTTGAAGTTAAATAGTATTAAGAAAATCTTTGAATGAAATAGTTTGAATTTTTAAAATCTTTACAGGAAATACTTCATTATCTTTTTCTTTAACTAGTAATTTAAATTTCAATATATTTATTTCATTATCACCTTCTTCTATATCTTTGTCATCTTCAGAAATAGAGATAGGTTCAGCATTATTAAATTCAAATGTCATATTATTCTTATCTTTAAAAGTATCTTATAAAAATTTGATCCAGTATTATTAGATTTCGATCTATCTAATATATTTTCAAATAATATATTATTTTTATCATTAAAAGTATCTTGTAAAAAACTTGATTTAATATTATTAGATTTAGATTTATCTAATGTATCTTCTGTATAAACAAAATCTACATATTCATTATCTTGTAAAGAATTTGATTAAGAATTATTTATAGAAATAAAAGTTTGATTTTTATTTTTTAATAACTTTGATTGAGTATTTTTTGCAGTTATAAAAGTTGTAGTTTCATTATTTTGTAAAGAATTTGATTGAGTAAGATTAGATTTTAGTTTTTTTTTTAGCTCTATAGAATTTACCGTATACTTCTGAAATTAAGCACCCCGAATATAAGCACCTCTGCGTCCTATATACACCCAAAATTAAGCACCTCCCAAAATTAAGCACTCTCACCACCCGCAATTAAGAATTACGCATTTATATATACGCCAAAAATAAATACATTCAAAAACTTTAATTATTACAATAATTAATATCTTTATAGCCAGCCTTTATCTTTGTGTTAAGCAGTGTTATTAAATAAACTTTCCAAATGCTTTTAAATAACTTTCATATATGAAGTTTAATAATAAACTTAAATGACAAATAACTTAGAAAAAGTCATAATATTGAGACTATATAGTACGAATAAATAAGCTTTAAATAAACCATCAATTACATAGTTAAAGTTTTTTTTTTTGTTTAATAAATCACTTATTCTGGAGATGCTTAGCATTGGAAAATTTTTTGAATAATGCTCTTAAAATTAGAGCTAGTGCTGTTAGCAAATACTTTATAAAAGGTATGAAAAGTTGAATCATATTCAGAAAGTTAAAAGATAACATAATATGCAACTACAATAATTTAATGTTATAACTATATTAATATAGATATTTATGTTCTAAAACACAATGTAATAACAAAGCTGTAATGTATACCTTATATTTATTTGAATCATTTGCGGCACCCACTATAATACTAACATTGCTTTGCAAGAACTTATTAATACATAAAGTAAGTGTAAAAATTTTTAGCTAGTAAAAATTTTGTTAGTCGTGTTCGCTTATTAAAATTTTGAAATTTTCTCTTACTATTGGACCAAACAATTCTTTCAACTTATTAATATAATGCGGAGAATCCTAAAGGTTATTTGGTTAATACTGGGTCTAAAATACTTAACTAATAGACTTTTGCTAACAAAATGGCACTTCAGGATCTTAGTTCAAAGTGTCATTTTGTTTGTAAAATATTTACCTTTTTAATTTTGTTCACTATTGAAAAAATAATGTCTTGCAATGTTACTTCTATCATATTATCCAAGTCATCTAAATTTGTTGGGTCCCGAATGTACATTTTGTAATAAAAAAAAATGCGGTTAAAATAAAGTAAAAAAAAAACTTTGAAGCATACGAAAAATGATCTTATACCATATTACTTTATGTACATTTTTACTAAATGTAACATTGATCCTTAGATAAAGAACCATTATTGGAATGCTACCTACTGTATCTGGGCCTGTGTAAGTTTCATACATCTGATTTGTGTGGAGATAAATTATCTATATAGTCAACTAGAATTATTAAAATATAAATGTTGACTACTAAACTTTACAGATACTAATCTCTAAGCTTAAGTCATCCCAATATTAGAATTACCATAAGAATATTAGATATCCTATTAACATAGTAAAATAAAAGTGAAATTTACATACTTTATAATTACTCTAATTCTTATTTTTGAGTAAATATTAATCAGCAAACTAGTACTATAGTAGGTCTTTACTCCTAATTTATTTTTTACAAAATTTAATGATTGAAAATTTCAACAATAATATCATCGTCTAATTCCCTACTATAATTTTCTTTATTTGAATCTAAAGTATTTGTAATGCCACAAGTTTCAAAAGATTTAACAATAATCTCATCAGGGATTTGCTTCTAAGAATGTTTAACCCACCAACATACGTCACTTAGCCTAGCACAGCGAAGATTCCCTTTTTTGTTTTATCAGCACCACCACGGGACATCCAGAGATGCCATTCCTTACGTAGGTTGTCTTTAAATGGCTTATTAATGACAATGTCTAGTGGTTGATACTTACTAGTCAAGCCACCTGGAATTACCACTAAATCGAACCTGTTATCTTGAAACTTTTTTTTAACTGAATCTTTCAAATATCCTCTAAAAGAATCATAAACCATCATTTTTGGAGTCCTGGATTTTTTAAATTTTACATCCTTAAGATAATCGATGTATTTGTTCATTAAGTCACTATCCATCTATCCATTATCTTGAAACCAAACAATTATACCAGGAGGAATTTGTTCTCCACTTGACAATCGCTTTCCTTTAAATATGCAAATTGGTGGAAACTTAAATCCATCTATAATAATAAATTAAGAAAAAAAAAAAAGTTTATAACAAAAATTTCATCTAAAAGAATTTATATTAGTTCTAAAGATAATTTAACTATATTAAGTTAGATAACCTATTTTAGCTTTACCTGCAGTACAAGTTAGTACAACTGTAAACCTATTGTTTTTATTACTAGTACTGTGGATTTGAACTGTTTTATCACCTTTTTGATTTACTATAAAATTCCCAGCCATATCAAACCATACAGGAGTTTCATCCATGTTAAGAATATTGCATAGTTCATAAGACTTCTCAATTCTTAATTGGGTAACAAAATTATAAAAATTATTTAATGCATCTTGTATTTGTTCCGGAAGCTTTTGTGAAATTTTTGTGCGATGTCGCCAAGACAATTGAAATCTTTTTACAAATGCAACCAATCAATGGTCTGAAGTTCTAAAATCCTTTGGTTTATCATTATATAAATTTGTCATTTCAGGTTCTTTTAAGATTTCTATCATTTTTACTCGCAACATTGAATAGGTAACTGCCAGTCCCTGTTTTCTTTGCCCTATTAACCAAGTATATAATTTTTCTTTTGCTTCAGGATAGAACACTTTCCTACTAGAACCAATACGTTTGCTATTTTGTCTTATTTCAGTTCCCCAACTTGTACTTGCTTTAATCTAATGACCAACCATACTAGCATCAAGGTTAAATTAAACGGCTACTTTATTTCTTCCATACTGTTTAGCATACTCAACAACTCTGTTTTTTTGCTCAATAGAATATGAGATACGGCTTGGTTTTACTTGGCTTACTGGTATCATTTCTAAAAAAACAATGAAAAATTTTCACGTGAATTTTGGCATTTAAAATTTATTAAATAGTTACACAGTTCTGCATTGTTATGTTACCAGTATTTTAAACTTTAAATTTTTTTAATCATACAAAATTTCAAGTCAAAATTAATGCATTAAATGTTCTTTTTGATACATAAATATAATAAAATTTATTGTGCATCAAAAAGAATATTCATTTCATAGTATTATTACACAAATCTGCATAAGTATTTTACACCATCTTATCAGATTTTAAAATTTTAATATCACCCAAAATTAAGCACCTTTATATTAAAAAAAGGGTGCTTAATTTCAGAAGTATATGGTACTATTACATGATGCACAAAAAGAAAATTTAAAAGTTGCATCAAATTCAATCTTATAATTATATGAATTATTACATGATTCTAAAAAATCAATCTGTTTAGTACTGAAAGAATCATGAAATTTTAAAGTAAAAGAATAGGAAACTTCTTTAGTACGATTTTTTTTTGTTGACAAAATATTTTTTTCACAATTACAATTACTTTGAGATGTTAAAACTGCCCAAAAAAGACATTTGGTACATCCAAAACATGTTTCGGGATAATAATTTTTGACCATTGAAAAAGATTTATTTTTTAAAAAAATGTATACTATACGTATAAATATATACTATATTATTTATACATATAAACTTTTACATAGTATAATATTATTATATATAAACTTTTATATAGTATAATATTATTTATATATAAGCTTTTATATAGTATAATATTATTTATATATAAGCTTTTATATAGTATAATAGCTTAAAAATAGTCTAAGTTAATATACACGTCATCAGAAGTAATGTTAAGGAAATCAGAAATCGGAAATCAGAAATCACGATTTCTTTTTTTTTTTTTGATCTTCAAATTTCACATAATTTTGCAAACCGCAATAATTAGTTGTCAGCTAACCAATTAATCGATTTTTTCAACTAGATTAAACTTGTAGAAAAAAAATTAGCATAACAGTAATATCAGATATCGTATAAGAGAATTATTTACGTATACGTAGCGATTTACGAAATTTCTACGTATGCATAATACGCACGATATTATGTGTACATCACACATGTCACTTATCGTTATATCTAATGCTTATGCTGCGTAAAATTATTGAAGTTAATATATAAGTAAGTTGATTACGTATTGGCACTTACAGATTACGTAGCAGTAGAATTCGCACGTGACTCATAATGACACGAAATTTTCTTTGTTTTGAAGAATTCTAGAATTTTGTAATTTTTTAAAACGAGTCAACAAGACAGCCAACAACAACGGGGTTAGCGAACAATATTGATAATTGGATAATGATAACAACTTGATTCATTGAAGTTGCATACCAATATACATATATACATATTTACGTATCAAATTATATAATTAAATATTTTTTGACACAAATTTGTAGATAAAAAGTAGCGAAATTTATTGATTTCTTACAATATTTACTGCATAAAAATTATTTTATTAGTTGCATAAAGATTATTTTCGTCAATTGGGCACAGGGAATTATGTTTGAGGAAAGGGTTTTGCCTAGAAAGCTTGTTTTGGGCGGGTCCAATTATTATGTCTAATCCTTACTTATTTCAGAATTTTAAAAAATACGTACGGCGACCTTTGTTTAAAGGACGATCATCCTTGTTTCTATTAATCGACTGTTCGACTGTTTAACAAGCAACAAGCAACATTATCTTGCAGCATCCATCCACATGCAATCAAATTGGATAAATATTTATAAATATTTGTCTGGAAGGTTCTACACAGAAGTGATACCAGAGATCTGTGTGTCCTCATATGATATTTATTCATCCAGGAATACTTGAATTTATTCTTTTCTTTTAGGATACGATGAAACATAATTATGAACTATTTGAAATATTTCAAATTTTAATTTTAGAATTCTTTACATATTTACATATCTGCTTATTAACACTTACCAATCATATAACATTTTATGACTACTGTTCCCGTTTTGACAAGCTATCCAACAAGCCATGGGTAGGGGTAAGTAGGAGTAGACGAAAAAAAGCCGAATTGGGGGTTATCAGAAATTAGATTGGAAAGAAAAATTCATACACCTAAATATATAACAATAATAAATCGAAAATGAGAGAACTAACAGAAAAATCAATGATCTCATGACACTGGTCTTCTTACAATAATGATATCATACTTATCGTTATCGTTATCGTTATGCCGTACTTGAAAATGGAACCTGCTTGAAGTTGCAAATTGCAAATTCAGGTGCCAGAGATCAGCCCCTGGAATTATTTTTTTGTATGTATTTATTAGTAATTTTAGTAATTTTAGGCAAGTGCAATTTAAGGCAGATGCTAACTTCAGGCACGACCTTCTGAAACCGAACCAATCATCTACAGTAGTTGCTAAAATACCAGCATTTTTTCTGATAGGACTAGTTAACCGTAAGAAGCCGTTCTTATTATGACAACAGAATGAAAATGCACTACTTAAGTGCGTTCACTACAATGCGCTACACTGAAGATGTTGATGAAATTAAACTATATAGCGATAATGTAGTATATAGTGTCATTATTGGTGAAATTGACGGAATTTGGCGAAATTAATTTAACCGGCATCGATTATTTCAATAAGTATTTAAATAAATAATAAGTGTTTCGAAATAGAAATAATAAGTGTTTCGAAATAGAAATAATAAGTGTTTCGAAAATTGATATGAAATGAATGTGGCAATGTGTTGTATAATTTGTGGCCACTTCTCATAACGATAATGTTACCCAGTTATCTTACTGTCTTAATTTACCTGGACTTTAAAAGATCACCTGCAGGTGATATGATGTATGCACCACGTGGCATTGTTTAGCGTTAGTTTTCCTAATATGTACACATATATATATAATAGGTTTGATTTTGTTAATTTCATAAAACTTCTAACGTTCAAGGTTACCATTTTATAAATTTTTTTAGAAGTTTAGAAATGCGTAAAAAAAAGCATACCGATACGTACATACGTTCACAGTAGTTCGGAATCCGATTCAGAATCAGGTTAAGCAGGTTTTCACCTGCAATCCTCATACATATGATTAAGTATTAGAGATGTTAACGGTTCAATTTGATCCAATTTGAACTATGTTTTTCTATTTTTGTTTAGTTTTGGACCAATTTGGACTATTTTTGTTTAGTTTTTAATAGTCTATAGTTTTGAATAGCGATAGCGATAGTCTGTAGTTTTAAGAATTGACCAGTCCAGACCGGTCTGGTCTTAAGACTAAGAGCAGACAGACCAAATTTTTTTCGGTCCTAAGACTAACTGTGGTCTATTAGACCTCCTAACATCCTTATTAATTAATATCGATACACTATTCCCTGATAAGCCAGGATATTACTGTTACTAACCTTAACTCTAATCTTTTGGCGAATTCCATTTAAGGCGATATCAAAATGCCCTACTAATCCGTAATAGATCTAGTGATTATATTACATAAACACTATATACTGTAGCATGCAGCAGATAGGAGAAATGCTTTATACCGACGGATAAAAGCCGGTCATTCTTTTTATTAAAGTCAAGGATTTCAAATTTCATTAAATAAATTTTAAACGGTAAAAATTTAAAATCATTATGTTTTTTACTTCAGTATATACAGTATATACAGTCAGATGTCTTTGTAAGACTAAAGATGTTGGTGAATTGGCGTTGGTATTGAATTGGCGAAATTAATTTCACTAATCCCAATTATGTACTAATCGTACTTAAGGAGTTCTGACTGTACAGAATATGAGAACACAATTGTGCATTAATTTTATGAGAATCCTAACGCTAAGACTAATTAGAATACTAATTAGAACTAATTTTATAAACTAATCATAACGAGTTAATTTCTGATTATACAATAATAATTCTCCGATCACTATATATATACTGTATATATGAGTGCTGCAGAGCGAAAACCTTTAAATGAACATAATTATTTACTATGTTCATTTTTGCTCTGCAGCACTCTGTTTTCGAAATGGTTGAAAATAGTAGATAAAAATTATTTGATGAATACTGTGAATACTCGATTACTCGATTAATTAACACACTGATTAAAGATCGATACCCCAAATTTACATACATACGATGTAATTGTTTTGGTGAACAATTACATAGTATATAGTATTCGAATATTTATAGTATATATTTACCAAAATGATTGTTATCTGCCATTAACCATTCCGAAAACAGCGATAAACAGCGATAAATTGTGGGGAATTAATATTTAAAATATCTATCTAAAATATCTAAAATATCTAAAATATCTAAAATATCTAAATATCTAAAATATCTAAAATATCTAAATATCTAAAATATCTAAAATATCTAAATATCTAAAATATCTAAAATTTCTAAAATTTCTAAAATTTCTAAAATATCTAAAATATCTAAATATCTAAAATATCTTAGACCGTATTAATTGTTTTACATAACATTGTTACCAGGTTTTTTTCCTTTTTTTTCATATCAAAATCTGGTTATGATTATTGTTATTGCTAATGCTAATGCTAATTTACTTTGTTACATAGTGACATTCTAATTTGGCAAGTTTTGTTTCAAAATTGTAATTAATCTAAACTAGCCAAAAAATTTAAAATTTTAGCAATCATATGCAACTAAAATTATAAACTACGATTACATCACATTACGATTATAGAAAGTTTTGATATTTTATGCAATGTATTGATAGCTTATTTACGCCTTTAGTCAACGATAATATTGTTCAATAAAGATTTTGATTATTTATGTATGTTTGTTAATATATATAGTATTGAAAGCAAGACTAATCTACTTTTATAGTGCATAATGTACTGGTCCAGTTTCGTATAGTTTCGGACTTACACGATGAAATGTTTCAGCTTCGAAAATCTGACTATCTCATTGTGGTTATATAGATAGTCCGAGGCAATTAAATAAAATCTGCAAACTTTGTCTTGAACAAAGAAAATTATAATTTGCATAGATAATTGTGAATTAAGTCTCACGTTATAATAATAATAATAATAATAATAATAATAATTTATATATAATAATAATAATAATAATTTATATATAATAATAATAATAATTTATATATATAATATATACATCAAATATACATACGTATAGGTTATTTCCAAAACTTTTAAGTATATATCATATATATCCGATATCAGATATCAGCTATCGGATACGTAATTAATATCAAATTATGCAAATTACTACATTTTATTTACGATTATACACGAAATTAATTATTGATTAATGAACCAATAATAATATACACCCGTCCTGAGCAAACACCAAATGGTTAGGCTTTTTTTTATTGAATCTTCATCCGAAATACCACTAATGCATAATAGATCTTCGTTTATCAAGCAATGCAATTTAATAAAAGGAAAACAATCACTGGTTGTACAATTTATGAGAGTGCAACATGTTTTATCTAAATATATAAATATAGGAAATTAGAAATTTTGCAATCGTGCAAGTTCGGGTAACATTATTCTTTACACTTTATTTTCTGTGAAAATAAACAAATAATAAATGGTAATATAATAATAATGTGTAAGTGAATGAACTTAATATTTTTAATTTGATCTTTTTTTTTTTTTTTTTTTTTAACGTAAAGTTTTCGATTACTAAATTTCATTTATTAATAGAATAATAATTGCAGCAAATTAATTTGTTTCATTTTCTTTCTTTAAAAAAATTCTTTTAATAGTAATATTATTATCGTTATATATATATATTTTTTGAAAGAAAAGGATCATCAGATAATAATAGGAAAAAAAAAATTCAAACCCGAACTTCACAGTCATCCCAACTAAGTCTTCTTTCAATAATATCAATAATTTGTTTTTCTTTATCATTTCAATTTGTAAAAAAACCATAGAATTACGTTCAAGTAACTCAAAAAAAATGAGTAAAAAACAATTAGATATAATGTTTTGCCAATTGGTGCAAGACATGGAAGAATTTACCGCAGTAGGAATATTTTCTATACAGTTCTTATTAAAAACTTTTTTTTTTTTTAAAAAAAATTAATTTATGTATTTATTTAGGATCTTGCATGTGATGATGATGAAAAAGAACAAATTGTTGAAAATGTTATAAATCCTTCATTGAAATATGATCAAGAAGAACCTTCTAAATCTGATCCTAGCTTGAGGCAAAGGAGTGATTCGATTTCTCACATATTCAATACTCCCACTACATCTACTAAACCTACTATACCCAAATCCTCCGCATCCTCTAAATCCTCCATATCCTCTACTCCCACTACCTCACTTACGTCCTCCACATCATCCACTTCATTTACTTCTACCACTTCATTTATATCAACTATATCCTCTACCTCAACTGTATCCACTACACCCGTCATTTCACCCACCATCAAACCTTCATCTCCATCAGAAAATAATGAGTCAAATTCTTTACATCACACTAATTTAAAATCATCATCTACAATAACTGTTAAAAGTTATTCACCATCAATACCTAGTATATCTCCGAAAATCACTGAGTCTTTAAATCCTTTAAATCCTTTAAATCCTTTAAATCCTTTAGGATTTGATGTTTCAACAAACCAAGTTAAATCATCTGATACTAATTCAAACTCACTTAATAACAATCCCTCAACTTTGGTGAAAAATTTTTTTGACACTAATAATTATGAGATTGATTCAACTAGTTCTTCTGACATTATCGATACTGAAAGTGATAGTGATAGTGATAGTGATAGTGATAGTAGTGATGATATTAGTAGTAATGATGATGATGATGATACTGAAAGCGATGATAATCTTCATATCTCTTTAAAACCCATTATTTCAAGAGCTCGTTCTGCTTCTGATGCAAAATTTCCTTCAAATGTTGATTCAAGAGCTCGTTCATTTTCTGATGCTAAACTTCCTTCAAATGATTCTCCATTAGGAATTCTTAAAGATTCTTTAAATCCTTCTTCATTTTCTTTGGGCCTTCCTGAGAATTCAAAACCAAAACTTTATCGTGTTCCAACTGGTCGTCGTCCTATTATTAAACATCAAAATTTTTCTCAAGAAATTCCTGAAACTCCTGTTTTACCCCAAGAAAATAGATTTAAACCATCTGAGATAAAAGATGATGAGTTTGAAAGGTTTAAACAAAACAATTATGATAATGAACCAACTTATAAGCCTTTAAGAAAAAAAGATAATGTCCCTATTGAACGAATTCGTAAAGATTCTAAAGCTAGCGATTATATGTCTGATGATTCTGCTAAAGATATAAATATTAGATCTCCTTACGTAAAAGATTATAAAGATTATAGTGATAAATCTACTAGGTCTAGTAAAACTAGAGATATTATAGAAAATGATGATAATAAACCATTACAATCTTTAACTCGTGAAAAATTTGATTATGAAGATCGTGGTCGAGCTAGATCAAGTGTAAATGAGGTTGAAGAACGTGGACGTGCTAAATCAAGGACTAGTGAAATTGATGAACGTGGACGTGCTAAATCAAGGACTAGTGAAATTGATGAACGTGGTCGTGCTAAATCAAGAACTCATGAAGCTCGTGAAGCTCGTGAAGTTGAAGATCGTAAATCTAGAGCTCGTGAAATTGATGAACGTGGACGTGCTAAATCAAAAACTCGTGAAATCGATGAACGTGGACGTGCTAAATCAAAAACTCGTGAAGTTGAAGAACGTGGACGCGCTAAATCAAAAACTCGTGAAGTTGAAGAACGTGGACGTGCTAAATCAAAAACTCGTGAAGTTGAAGAACGTGGACGTGCTAAATCAAGAGCTCGTGAAGTTGACGAACGTGCAAAATCAAGAACTCGTGAAATTGATGAACGTGGTCGTGCAAAATCAAGAACTCGTGAACCTGAAGAAAGGAGTCGTGCTGTATCTAGATCAAGAGAGTTTAATGAAATGGAAAAACCTGAAAATGCGGCTGCTCGTAAAAAAGAATACGAATTATTAATGGAAAAAGAAAAACATCTTCGGCGCGAAAAGGTATGTCTATCCGCTCATTTAAACTTGAAATGATAAAAATCAATTGTATGAATAATCTAAATAATATAAATTATTACTTTTATTTATTACTTTTATTTATTACTTTTATTTATTACTTTTATTTATTTATAGTCAAAACATGAAAAGCAAGATCACGAAAAAGACTCTTCTAATACATCAGAATTAAAAGTATGTCAAGTTTATTATTAGTTTCTTCATAAACAGTTTAACTTAATAACTTAATAACTTAATAACTTAATAACTCTTGATATAGATTTATGTCGAACACATTCAAAAATACAAAGGAGTATTATTGTCATCTACCATGACGACCTTAGATATTTTAACTTCCTTTCGCAATCATAATATAATAACGGTCGATGATACTTGGTCTTTATTCGAAGTATCAAAAGAATTTCATATTGGTAAATTCATCTCCTGTTATCTATGTAAATATCTTTCGGAATTTTCATCACTTATATTATTTGTATTAATTTGTATTAATCATTGTATTAGAACGTCCATTAAGAGATTGGGAATGTGTATCAAAAGTCATTGGAACTTGGGAATCGGATAAAAAGGGTAATTCAATAGCTCTTAAAAAATGCACAAACCGATCTTCATTAACATTACAGGCCAGTGTTCTCAATAGGTTGTTTTTATTAATAGCATTTGATTTAATTTCTTTTGCATACTAAATTTATCCAAATTTTTATAAAATTTTAGGCTTTTGATAATGCTGTGCCACCAATGTTTGGTTGGTTATATCTTGAGTTAAAGAAAAATAAATGGAAAAAACGTTATTGTCAAGTAAAAGATGGTGCTTTGTATCATAGTAAAGATATGAAGGTAACCTTTTATTGAAACTCTTGGCAATTCTCGGAAATATATTTTTTTTAATTCGTTTTTTTAAATAAAATACAGGGAACAAATGAAACTTTACTTTGTTCAATGGCTTCTTTTGATGTGTATACATGTATACAAATGAGAAGAAAACAACCAACCAAATTTGGTTTTGCGATAAAATCTCAAGATAAAATGTCTTTATTTGAAAATCCAGAAGATTATGTGCATTTCTTGTGTGCGGAAAGCTCTGATAAAGCAAATGATTGGGTTTTGAGTATTAGAGCTGCAAAAGTATGTTTATTATTTATTATCAACAAATATTTATATATATTTATATATTTTGAACATGAATAACATCCAAATTGTTGCCTTATGTTGATTAATAAATTTCATTAAATTTACACATTTACAGAATATTCTAATTCGTCAGGAGAGACCTGATCTATTTGGTGTACCTGACAAGATATCTTCACAAACAAATATTGATTCACCGTCAACTAGTACTTTACAATCAGAGGTTTATTTTTATTTTTTTTTTTATTTTTTTAAAAAAAATTTAATTAATTTAGCTAACCAGGTTATTCTTTTTTCGTGACAGAAAACTTCTAGTCCTGTTATAGCGGAAACACCACATACCCTTAAAACAGGATCAAGTCAATGGGATAATGTGCGTCGTCATGTACGCAGTCCTACTAAAAAAACACCACAAGGTTCGAGTGATTACATTCCAGAATTCATACAAACAAATTCTCCTGTATCTTCTGGACCATTTAAAAGTGGTTCTCTATTAAGTTATGATGAGAAAAATCCACCTATAAAACCCGTTGAAGTTGAACAAGTTACATTTGCAAAAGGTTCACTTCTAGCTACAAGTGATGCTCTTTATGAACAAGCAAAAGAACGTGAAAAAGTTCGACGTGCAATGGGTGGGGTCGGTATTATTAAGGATCCAAATGGAAACGGTACATTTGTGCAATTGGATGATTCTGTAGTATTCAACAAAGGATCATTACTAAGTAAAAATGTTAATGCGACAAATCAATCACCTACCGGACAATTAATACAAACTAGTCCAATTCGTTTTAATGAAGGTTCGTTATTAGCAAAAAGTCGAGAACCATCTCCTGTCGAAAATAGTCCTACACGTTCAGGTCTTTTAATACAAATTGACGATGGTGTTCGTTATAATAAAGGCTCTTTATTAGCAAAAAGTCAAGAACAATCTCCCGTTGAAAATAGTTCTACACGTCCGGGTCTTTTAGTACAAATTGACGATGGGGTTCGTTATAATAAAGGTTCTTTATTAGCAATGAGCCAGACACAATCACCTGTTGAAATTAGTCCTACACGCCCGGGTCTTTTAATACAAATTGACGATGGGGTTCGTTATAATAAAGGCTCTTTATTAGCAAAAAGTCAGACACAATCACCCGTTGAAACTAGTCCAGGGTTTTTAATACAAATTGACGATGGTGTTCGTTATAACAAAGGCTCTTTATTAGCAAAAAGTCAAGAACAATCTCCCGTTGAAACTAGTCTTACACGCCAAGGTCATTTAGTACAAATTGACGATGGTGTTCGTTATAATAAAGGCTCTTTATTAGAGATGATGATTGATTAGGGAATTATCGATCATTTGATTTGTTTGTTCGTTCGTTTTTGAGTATGGTCGGTTGATAAGTGATCGAACATATTCTATTATTAAATAGTCATCCATGCATCATCATTCATATTATATTCGTTACAATACGTACATTTTTCACAACCCGAATCTATTTATAATCATCAATTGTATTATTAATTATTTCACGACTCATAAATTTAAACGCCATTAACTTTATGTTCAGACTAATCAACGCGAATAAAATGTATATTAAATAGTTTTAAGCATTTCCAATTTTTAAAATGTAAAATCCAAATAATTTACAATAATATAAAATTTGTTTTTATTTTCCATTCTAATTTTCGTAGTATTAAAATGTCATGCTTGAGGTTTAACACCTGCTTGAAAAATTGCACCTGTCTGAAATTAGCATTTATTATAAAATTTATTATATATCCTGTATATAATAGTGATTTCCTTTTAATTAGATCTATGTAATTAACATTCATTCTTTGCATAAACATATTATAGTTAAAAATTATTATATATTTAATTTGTATGTAACATTTTTCTTTCTTTAGCGTTAGCAAAAAATTCTATTTAAAAGAGATACTTGCCGCGAATAATAAAAATTTAAGATAGTCGATATTGATAATTGAATAAAGAAAGCATCTTTAAATTTAACCATCTAATGATTATAAACCCAGCAAATAAAAGTCACTATGCTCTCCCGGAATTATAATAACAGGCGCTTAATAATGACAGTAACAAGCAGTTTACTGCGCTTTTCAATTACTGTACTGTGATCACCAAATGATCATCCATCACGCAGGAATCTAGTTGAATACCAATTTCCTAGAATAATATCCATCATTATATTTGATCTTTCTGTTGATTGACTAATTTTTATTTTAGATTTTTTATCTTCTCATAAATTTTGAACGAAGGAATCTTACTAATATCTCGCTTATTTTCAATGTTCAAGGCTATTTTCGAATTCTACAAATTAATATTATTCGAAATAGCTTTAGATATTAAAGGGAAATTCTATTTTGACCCGGGTCAAAATGACCCCACCTAGAACTAGGGTTAGTGCGGGCCAGAAGTATGTTAATGCCGGCCGGATTTTTATATTAAAAAAACCCTGGCCGGCATCAACATAATTCTGGCCCGCACTAACCCTAAATGCTAGGTGGGGGCCGAATTTCCTATATTGAAATTATACAAGGGATGTTATTTAGAGATATCAACGTCCAAAGTTCGAAAACAAATATTAACCTCTAATAGGATAAAATTTGATTACTAATTTTTTAGATCTGCACTTTAAAAATTCTTGAAAAGCGCAGTAAAACATGATCAACAATGTATCTAAAATCACAATTTTTTATAAGGATCTCTTTCATAACAAAGTTCCTAAACAAGTATTCCTAAACTAATTACAAAGAATTTATCGCTCCCATATACAATCAGCCAATCAAATCAATCAAATTTAAGATTGGTGATCGTATATAGACAGTGTTGGCAATTTTTTTTGCGGTCAAATAATTTTTTTTTTGGCCTTTGGCCAGTATCCAAACCTCGGCCAAAAGTTTCTAACTTATACTCCAATTTCGTGATGATTTAATGTGAGTGATTAGATTAAATAAACTTTGAGCCAATCATTTATGTGATATGGCATGATTATTGAGAATAAATGGTAAGCCCGATAATGAATTGCTTATGAATCGCTTATAAATTTTATTCATAAATTTGTACCTGATTGTAACCTGATGTTTATAAATTTTTATACTTATGTACCTAATTATGACCTAATTACCCTAATTATGACCTAATTACTTAATAAATTTTTATACATATGTACGTACCTGATTAAAATTTTTTTGTGCATATGTTCCTGATTGTACGTAACCTGATTACTTACAAATTTTTTGTACGTACGTACGTACGTACGTATTTACCTGATTGTAACCTAATTACTTATAAATTTAACTTGATATAGATATCCGAATTCAATCCGAATTATCAGATCTATCCGAATTAGTCGGATTGCGGATCGAAACACTAGTTGAAACATTTAATACTATCGCTATGTAAATATTTCAGCTTAAACTTTTAAATTGTAAATCTTTTACTAAATTCATTATTAAAAAAATATTTGGTTTTTTAACTGTATTAATAAAATGAATTAAAAAATATCTTAGCATAGTTTTAAAACTACACTATTCATATATGAGTGTCGTCAAAGGAAAACATATTTTGTGTACAGTTGGTCATCTATCGACAATCTATCACACAAAATACGATTGAAAGTCAGATGATAGATTGTCGATAGATGGCCAACTGTACACAAAATATAATTGAAAGCAGATTGTAGGTTTTCCTTTGACGGCACTCATATATCATTTGCAAGTTACAGAATTGAATTGGCTTTACTGAAGCAGGAGTTAGAACGTTTTTGAAGATACACGATTTTTATAATAAATTACTGTATATACTATGGTGGATTTTTTTCAATAAATGATCAACAAAAATTTAAAATAGTGCCAATCATATACGCACGTATGGAGCTACACTAAAAGCCTGCACGGGCCGGGCCGAAATTTGAAAATTTTAAAAACCTCTCAAAATTGCGGGCCTGGTGTCTCAAAAACTAAAAAATATAGTAAATTTTATTTTGCAGGCTGCGCGGGCCGGCAAAAATACAAATTTTTAGGCCCGTGCGCAGGGCTCTATGCTACACTATGGTAAAATTACCGTAATTTTACGTAATTTTGTGTAATTTTGCGTAAGTTTTCATATAATTTGTAAGAAACATGATCATACGCTCATATGATTGGTTGGATCATATGTACAGTACATCGATTTGATCAGAATTCACTGTAGTTCAACAAAGCTAGCCGAGTTTTCATAGTGTTGGTACTATGAAATCCATGTTCATATGGGCGAAAATCTCCAGTTGGAACACAGTGATTATTAAAAATTAGGTGATATTATAATCATGTACAATTTATAAGTAATTAGGTTACAATCAGGTAAA